ACAGGTTTTAGCAATCTGGATTCTGGGTCGTTGTGTTTTCTTTACAGTCTTCAGTCCCTCATGCTTTTGCACTTATTCGAAACTTAACCCACAATGGCAAGCAAGCGCCTTTGAATTACTTGTCAGTAAAAGTAAGAATGTAAATGATAGGTCATTTGAGTATTTGTACAATGTCGTGGTCAGTGACTGAATAAACTCCATCAAACCCAGCACAAGTGTTTACTGCTTTGTTATAGTCAAATCTGCGATTTTTTAGTTGTTGTTGGTGCGTGATTGTATTTTAGTTTACTCGAATGTGTGTGATGTGGTAACCGTAATAGAAATTGGAACTTTATGGAAACGCATCTGAAATGTCTTGATAATACAATGAATGTACAATCCTTATCAAAACCAAAGAAGTGGACGATTGACTAACTTGGGGGTGAAGGACGGCGAAGAAGCAGCTGCAACAGCAGCTAGAGGACTGGACAGTAACGCAGCAGCTGCGGCAGCAGCAGAGGCAGCAGCGGTGGCGGAGGCAGCAGTGGCGGCGGCCGCAGCAGCGGCACTGGCGGAGGCGGAGGATGCGGAGGAATGTTGCGCGGCCGGCGTGGCAGGCGCCGAGAGAGCAGCACCAGAGGAATTGGCTGTACCAGCGGTAGGAAGAGATGGAGGAACAGCAGCGGGTCCCGATGGCACTGCAGGTGCTGGCGGAGGCGGTGGTGGTGGTGGCGGTGGTGGTGAGAAGACTGCAGCCTCAGGTGGAGAGCGAGTGGGATAGAAGCAGCTACCCAAAACTGCTGCTGCTGCAGCCGCCGCAGCTGCAAAGTGACGACCTGCCGATGGAGCGGCGTAAGGCGAAGGCGGAGCTACACTGAAGTGACTGGGCATTGGCTGACCATAGGCTGCCATTCCGTAGAATCCGGCTGCAGCAAAGACAGCATAAAAACTTTGGAAAGGGTTTTTTGAGGCTTGAGGCCTAAAGTTAATCAAAACTCTCTACATAAATATCCTCAGCTTAAAGTACAAGCCTTTTAATCCACTAATACGTCCACTTAATCCCACTTATCACCGCTCCGGTCACATGACTTGTGGACTTCTCCAATGGTGGCACTAGTGGCGTCGCGAGTAGTAATGCCAAAAAGCCAAGCGAAATCAAGCATTGCGATATACTAGGGAAGTAAAAGGAAAAAAAGTATGCTAATCATTTTAACTGTTCCATATATTTGGTGGGAACAAGGAAGGTGAATTTATGCGCTCCTTAGGACGCGATGAATTTTTACGCCTCAATTTTAGGTGACACATCATTGAGGCGACGATAAGTGCTTAATTGAAATGCTCTTCTCTTCAATACAGGTCACAAGTTCTTTCGTTTTTTTTTCTTTTTTGGCTAAATTTTTATTCACCTATGTGTGGCAAGTTTAATGCTTTAGACTTTTGATTTTCCGCTGAAGTAGTTATCAAGGCCAAACGCTCTAAGTGGTCACGGCAAACAAGAGGACAGATTTTATTTTTTTACGAATGAGAGAAACTTTTTCACTACCTCTCCCACCACCATCAGAAGTGGAGTTTGTGGTTCATAAATAAATTGCACTATCAATCATTCCCATCTCCTGTTGCTATTGCCGTCGTCGTCGTCGTGGTCGTCGTGGTCGTCATTGCAGGAATGGTGAATCATAGGCAATCCACTTGGATAGGCCATAAAAGTCAGTGTTGCGATCACATCGGTAGGGAAAAATGCATTGCAACAGAAGCATTGGTGACAGGAGTAACAGTCAGGCAGGGTGAAAGAACAGCCACACTTAATTTTTCACCACATTGCACCAACGATGCCCTCAGTCACCCAGTCAACAAGGAAACAAACCAACCAGCTGAGAGAGGCATAAATTATATCTAGCACCGTTTTACAATTTATGTTAAGTAAATTCATTTGCAAGTCGACAGAAAAACACCGGTGTATGCGCCTGTGCGTGTGTGAATGCTAGCGTTTGCGTGGAACGGCAAAGGCCTGTCAGACAGACAGAGGGCGAGGAAGAGAGAGCGAGAGCGAGAGGAAGTCAGACGCGGGGGTTCAAAACCCCCTCCCCCTTCCCCTCCCCCGTCTCCCCTCCCCTCCCCTCCATTCTGCCCTACCTTCCTGCCCTGTTTCCAAGACTGCACACGTACATACAAAAACACCATGCAATAGTAAGCGGGAGCAAACTGATTGCTGCTAGCTGAAACAGAGGGAAATTAACAGCCACCACGAGAGTGAGTTGATGGAAGCGGTGGTCGTTCTTTTTAATAGCATTGCTGATTGAATGCTGCCTCTCTGGCCAAGAGTCCAAGGTTTCAATTGCAAGCTTGACTACAAATGCGCTTTTCGCATCCTTTCACCCCTCCAAGATGTGATTTTAGTGTTTGTGAAGGGTGTTGGCGATCACAAGACATCCAACGGCATGAAGTCATTCCACCCAACCTTCTAACCATGATTGCATATGAGAAGGCTTGTCAATCGTAATGGATGAATTGCAAAAATCACCTTTCCCAGTGTGCAGTTGGAGGAATGACACCTCCAAAATCCGCCCTTGATTAAAGTGATTTTGGAGGACTGATGACGTTACAAGAAATTGAGGGATGCTGTACACAAAAAATGAAGAAGACCTTGTTTTTTTTTCTTTTTGAACCTATTCAATCGCCTTTATGGTAGCAATCACTTATGATTCATTTTATGGCTAAAGCTGTAATAAAAATGCGTCCACTTGTGCGCAAAAACAGCGCATTTTCATAAGTTTCCTTCATTTTAAAGTGTACAAAGAAAATAGGAAATTTGAGGTTACTTTAAGTGGACTCTGATTGGTTGGCAAGGCTTTAGTACATGAGGCAAACAGTTGGTAGAAATCACGGATCTACGAATGAGGTCCTCCCGCCTCACACTTTGATCAACGTTGAGCTCGCATTAGCACACTGAAATGAATTTAAACATCCGCAATTTCGTTATCAGTGCTGCAATAGGAGGAGGAGAAGAAGAAGGGGAACAGGGAGGCGAGGGGAGACAGAGGGGGGTATAATTTCATTAACCATTTTAATTTATTCAGCCTTATTTACAGAAAAGACACTACGTTTGTGTGTGTGTGTGTGTGTGTGCATAACACACTTTATTGATATCCACCTTCCATCGCTCCTCTCTTTCCCGTCAATCTTCCTCCACATCCACAACAGATGGCTGTCTGCAAAGGCATCACCACCCCACCTGACATAATTGTCTTTGTTCATAAAAAAAGGAGGCATGACACAAGAGAGTCATTATTTTACCAATACCAATGGCGAGTGGACTTTGAACTAGACGTCACCGCATACACACACACACACACGAGGTGGAGGGAAGGGAGCTGCTTTTTTGTACTTACGGCGAAATTGGGATGCGTGTGTGACGAAAAAAAAACCCCACTCTAAAAAGGACCGTTGAAATTCACAGGCAGTGAAGTGGCAAAGTTTGATGAGAAAGTCAGCGAAGCACAGGTGACACACACACACACACACACACACCAAAGGTGAGAAGAGGAGAGACTTGGGGAAGGCGAGGCGGAGGAGGAGTGGTGCACCTCCTCTCTCCCTTTCACCTGACAAGAAGGCAAAAGGAGGAGTGGGAAAAAAGTTTTGGCTTTTATGTGAGATTTTTCGGTAATATTGCATTGACGATTAAATTTAACTAATGCTACAACCAACCCCCAAGGTGGATAGGGCGTGACATTTTACAGATGAGATTCAAAAATTGCGCACTCGAAGACGGATTTGTCTGCCTTTCTGTCTAGTGGAATGAAAAGTGCAAAAAAATACGACCGAGAGAACCGTAACTCACGACGTAAGTCAGTGAATTTGAAAGATTTTTTTTTTCTGCAATGCCATTGAAGCACCCCTTCCGCGGCCTCGTCCCTCCCCCCCTCCAAAGGGGCGTGAACTTCAACACTTCAATCCATCAACTTCAAGAACTTGAGGCATCCTATCTCATGTCATGCGGATACATCATTCAGACAAAATTGTGTTCCTGCGTTTGGGCGTAATGAAGAAATTTTTTGGCACTCTGCAAGATGATCCACTGCTTGGCGCCCGTTTTCCTTTATGTGCGTTGATGAAACTCTCCGAAGTGGGTCTTATAGCGTTGAGGTCGCTCTGCTGCCACGGTGCCTGTCAGTCTCCACGTCGTCTTAACTGCGTGTGGGGAGGGAGGGGGGAGGAGGCTAGGAAATTGCATTTTAAACCAATGAAAACAAGTAAAATTGGGAATGTTGACTAAGGGAGGTCGAACATTAAGCAAATCGCAAGGTGGAAGTGTGGACATCAAATCGGACAGACGAGGATGTGCACGCCGAAGGGATTTGGACGGCCTCAGAGGTGCGACAACGTGACAAGAACTAACAGAGACAAGTTGATCAATGCAATTGAAGAGTTTACCACTTGTTGCTCACATCAAACCAGAGTGCTCAGTGTGCAAAGTCGTATAAATTTGCATATTTGATGACCCCCGGAAGTATTCGTATTCACGCATTCACGCATTTACACACGCAAAACTGTCATCTAAAAGAGCGAAAAAAGGCACAAACACAAACACATACGCATACATGCACGGATCCCATTACCTGCCCGTCTGCCTAACTCTCTCGCCCATACACCCTACGTATGCATGCATTTATCTAAATGCATCCAAGCAAAGTGGCAAATCACCCACACTACAGTGGCGGATGCGGTGGCGGTGGTGGTGGCGGCAGCCGTGGCAGCGGCAGCGGCAGCAGCAGCAACACCAACAACAACAGAGGTCAGCCAGATCCATTAGTGAAAAGGTTACTCCTCACTCTACTTTACACATCTTTCCACAGTCTTGCACAGCATAGCCTGGACAGAGGCAAGAGAACCATCGCTATTACCATTGTTATCACCTCCCAGTGTTTGGAGAAGCAAAAAAAAAAAAAGGAAAGGAAAGAAGAGGGGCGCAATTGCCAAGGCGACAGAAGAGGAGAAAATTCAAAAAGGAAGAGAAAAGAATAGTGAAGCTGTGTTCACACACAAACACACATACACACGTGCACACCAACTGTAAGAGGGGAGGAGACGGAGGAGGGGATGAGCGTTCCCTCGCTCCTCCACCCTGCCCCGCCCTGCCCCGCCCCGCCCCGCCCCGCCCCGCCCCGCCTTGCCTTGCCTTCCCCACAGTCAGTCTCCCACTTCACGCAGTCTTCCGCTTTTTGTTTCTACTTGCACGCGTGTGCTTTCACTCGCCAGCGGGCGGACGAAGGCGCAGCATTGACGTGACAGCAGCAGCAGCAGCAGCAGTAGCAGTGGTGTGCTTCCGTTGGGTGGAAAGTGAAAGGGAAGAAAAAAAAAACAGCTCCGAACCAACTACTCCGCCAGTCAGGCAAGCAGACAGGCGAGCGGGGAAGCAAGGAAGCAAGAACGTAGTGGGATAAACCGTGAGTTGAATGTGTGTGGGATGGAGGGCACTTTTACGTCTCCTTGTGTGGTGACGATGATTGTGGTGGTGAAGAGGAAAAAGAAGAAAAAAAAAAGCCAAATTTCTCCCGCTTCAAAACTAAAAATCAACTTGCACTCGCTTTTTTGCCATCTTCCTTCTCAACCTCTCTTTGTAAGCCATATAAGAGTGTGCAGGAAATTGAAACTTTTTTGAGCAGTCAACATCATCTCATAGGGGTGTAAATAATTCAAATCTTTTAAAAAGGAGTTTCTTGCATCCTTTTTGATCTGATAAATATGGGGTGGGATCATGAGGGTGCAGGTGATGGGTAACAAATTACCGCGCCTCTTCTTCTTTTCAGACGTAGGTGAGGAGAAATTTTCAACAAAATGTCAGAAATAATTGATGTGTGATTGGGACTGTACAAATACCTAAAAATGTAACCTTTTAAATAATTACAAAGGAGTAAAGGAGGGGATGAATGCATGAACTAGGGAGAAGGTGGGCTCCAGTGTGGACTGAGGGACTCAGAAGAGATGGAATGGCGGATGGGTTGAGTGGACGCAGATTGGAAGGTGAACCGGAACACCCACGTCAACGTGGGATCCGGCGAAGGTGAGATGCTTAGGAGTGGACAAATTTTAGACTTGTGTAAAAAAAATCACTTACAGTGGTTTATACTACTTCTATTTTCAGTAGTATCATCAAATTAGTAATTGGTATGATTTGCTCCACTGATTCACATCTTTTTCATACAGAAAAAAATGCCCAAATGCTTGACTTGTGCTGTCGAAGGTCCACCAGACCGACACTGGCTGTGATGGCACCAAATTGTGTTGCCTCACACCAACAGGTGCAGAAAAAGGCGAACTAGCAGACGGCCAACCAGACAGAGAGAGAGAGAATTGTAAATGAAAGTCAGTGGCATTTTCAAGTTTAGCCTCCAGTTTCCTGTAAATTGCATACTTGGGTAAATGTAGGCGACTCCCTCCTTACTAAATTTGGATTTGGACAGAATTAGATGCTATTTCAGGAAAGTGGGGTGTTGGATGGGTCAATGGCACTATTGGTGGTTAAATTTATGAACGCTTGTGAACAGTTTGGCGCTTGATTGATTGGTTTGATGGGTAAAAAGGGATGAACGAGTGGGTGCATGCAAGAAGGGATGATTGCGAAGGAGGTGGACGCGGAGGTAAAGAGGAAGTCGCGAAACAAATGGACGGGGACAGGAGGGTTTGAGTGGAATGGCGAGGAGGGAATCGAGTTCTTTCAAAAAAAAAAGAAAAATTCAAAATTAAATCACTTCCAAGGTGTCAGTATCATCATCAGCAATGTCAGTTCTCCCTTCTCGTCTACTTCATCACCTTTTTGCATGTCCACGAAATTAAAGTCTTTTTACCGTCTTATCTGTACCCTCCATAAGGAAAGGAGGAGTCACAAAGCGCCTCTGTCACCGACATCCAATTCAGTAAATATTTCTCAAATCCACCTATTTTGAAGTCTGAAAAACAAATCAGTTGTCATATCGGCGCGTAATCAAACCACTCTCAATCCAAAATCCTGTGCAAAGAACGCCGAGTCGATTGAATGCAAAAAGGCACGAAGAAAAGTCCTTGTACGAGGCTGGTTGGTGGTTTTATTTTAAGGGAGGGGAAAAAAAAACGAGTAAATAAAAAAATAAGTCAATGGAAAAGAGAAAAGCAGAGGCGTTGAGAAAGGTTCTGAGCTGAGGAAAATGAAGAAAAAAAAAAAAACAAAACAAAAGAAGGCCATGGAAGGAGGTTGTGCATTAACATCGCTTGCGTTATTTCCCTTTCTCGAGCCCATAAAATGAAGTGCCAACGAAGTCTAACTTGGCCAACGGACACGGACACAGAGGAGGCAGATTTTCGTGCATTGTCGTACTGGCTGAGGGCAGGACTTGCTTCGTTTGCAAGTCCACTGCCAAGTTACTTCCTTTAGGACAGAGGCTGAGTTGAAGAAGTGGAAGTTAAACTAGACTGACGGGGACAGCGTCGGAGTGCGGACGCAGGAAGGTCACCACGAATGTCGTCGAATGACCACTTCCCTCCCCATCTCAACGGGCAGTAGGGAATGATTGCAACAATCCGAGTGGACGCTTAGTGGTCAACTTTTAGAGTCGGTTTCAAGCAGTTCAAAGGAGCAAACAAAGTAGGAGTCACTCACTCGCTGCATTGAATAGTTCGGAATGAAGAGCGGAGGCAGAAGAGGTTGAGGAGGGGGACAGAGCATCAACACCGCCGACGCCGCCACCACCACCACTGCCAGACGCTGATGTAGTGGAAGGCGTCGCGGATGAACCCGAAGTGGAGGAGGTGGAGGTGGCTGAATTGGATGACGGTCGTTGTTGCTGTTGTTGCTGTTGCAGAAGGCGTTGCTGCTGCTGTTGTTGTTGTTGTTGTTGTTGTTGAAATGCTGTCAAATCGTAGAAGTTGGATGGCGGTGGAGGCGGTGCAGGCATAAAGCCTCCAAAGGAACCAATCATGCCTGGTGACAGTAGACCACCATACATCCGACTTGCCGTCTTCTCCATCTGGACGAAAATGCAACACACACACACACACTGAGACGTCTGACCACTCTCTCTCTCACTATTCAGCCTTGAAGGCTAATTCGGTGCTGCATTCGCGGTATTATCACACTGCCACCAAACATTTAGAGCGCACATCTGTCATTCTGACGGTGTTGTGAAGACTAACGGCATTGGAGGGAGCATTTTTTTTTCCCCTTCACCTCACGTGCTTGACCAAAATTTCGTCTACAGGAGTCTTTGTTTATGTGTTGGAGTGAACAATACTGCCATCAATTCACTCTAGGGTACACAACTGTGCATTGTTTTTGACATGGAAACTCACTTTGTTAATCAAAAAGAAAAAAAAAGAAAAAAAAGAAGAAGTTCAATAACCGATGTAGTGAAATTGTCTACCTCCGCAAATGCTTTTGACAGTGTGTAAGTTCCTTGTTTTTTTTTTTTTGTCAAAGTACCATCCGCATTCATCACACAACCCTCTTTTTTGCTGTGCTATTAATCACCAAAAAAAAAAAAGAAGCGTCGATTTGTGTGGAATTAGGGATGTGACGGATTGTTCATTAATAAAAGGAGCACAGATTTTAGCGTCTGTCGTGGCAAACAACAAAAAAAAAAAAAAAAAGAGGAGACACATCAATTTTGAGGAGTGAAAACGACAGTGCGCCTTTTACCAATGCACTATTCATCAGAAGGACCTGTTCATCAGGGCTTTCAATCAAGTGGTAAAATTTTATTGCTTTTCGTATCTCCACACACACACACACACACACCCAATCGGACAGCGAATTTTTTTGGCTAATTTGAATGAGCGAGGCAATGAGAGAGCCAACGAAGGAGCGAACGAACAAACGGAGGAGAAGGAGGTGGAGACGAGCGCGGAGGCAGAGGCAGAGGGAAAGAAAAAGTAGGAAACGACGAGAATCCACACACACACGCCTGCATTTATCCATTACATTCATTCATTCGCTCACGTGTACACGCATGTACTTCCCACCTTCCTCAGGCTGTTGTTGTTCCCGATGCCATAGGGCTCGTAAAAAAAAGTCTGGCGATCTTGCAGCACTTGTGTTATTCCCTACCGTTGCTAGCAGCAGCAGCAGCAGTTGAGACCCTGGATTGGAACCCTCCATCACAATCCATTTGCTGTTTGGTTACCCCAGGGGTTCAAGTAAGGGCGTTCCTAAAAAATTCCCTCCACTGCCCCACTACCAACGTCGCCCATTATTAATAAGCGGTATATTGCTGTGGATGGAGGCTGCTCTAACACTCAGTGATGGCGACTGCACTCAACGTCAAATGACTAAGTGTTTGACAATAAGAAGGCGCGGCCATTTAACGCATGCAAATTAGGGGTAGGTGAGAGGTTGCCCTCCGAACGGCACCTAATGCGGCGGGTGAAAGACGGTGAATTTTCATTTTAATGGAGTTATTTGGTCTGAGAGTAAGACGAGGCCTTTAAACAAGGGAGAGATGGAGCGCCTTCAGGATGCTGGAAGCTGACCTCCCACCAAGGTTCATCTCAAATGCCATTCATTCATGGGAGGAGGTCAGATGGGTGATAGATGTAGGCATTGACCTCATGCCTTGGCGATTAACCATGGCAAAAATGGCGACCCAACTTTTCGAAATGGGACGCACGATTAAGGCAAACATTCCCACAAATGCCACTAATGCCGTCGACCAGCGAGCACATTAATCAAGCCTTGGACCTGCTCCTATGACATCTCGGTAATCCACTGAGATTCCCAATTCCGATTTGCGGTGGTCGAGACTTCAAGGATTAATTTTGGTGGGTAAATATGATTCCACCACACTAAAGATCAACAGCACTGAAGGCACATTGTTTATTGCTAAGTGCTGTAACAGATCAAAGTGGAACAAGAATTTGAGGCAACAAAAATCAGATTCGTGTAGTAAATGAAATGGACGGCTTGATGAATGAGAGAGGCTACAGCACAACAATTGAACAATACAAACTCTCTTACAAGTGTATTTTTTATCCAGATGGATGTTTCAATGAGGGACTAATAGCATTTTAAGCAGAGAGAGAGGAAAGAGGCAGATCCGCCTCACAGCAGCACTTCAGCGTCTGGCGTAACAAACATTGTCATGTCATGATGTTGGCGACGATAAAGATTGCTGTCTAATTATCCTCCCCTGTCCCCTTTGGCTTCGCCTCAGCTTCAATCCTCTCTTCTCCTCCTCCTCCACCACCACCCTTTTACTCTGCAACATCATTGCATGTCCATCATCACATGTTATGCACTATTAAATGCCTCTCTGCTTACTTAAATGGTCCCGTAAACATGCATAAATTGCGCATGGGCACACGCACTACATTCCCCTCTTTCTTCCTCTCCTCTGTGTTTACCGACTGCATTCTCGCTCATGTGTATTCCACTCTTTGCTTGTGCTACTGAATAAGGGAATTCAGTAGGCATTGCCAACCCCTCAATACATTTTTACTAAAATGCGCGCACATAATAAAACAACAAATTGCAACCAAAGAAATATGGTTTGACGGATTAATTTGCCTTTTAGACAAAATTTTCTCACCAAAATCTACTGATTTGCAATGTGTGTGCTCTGCAATAGAGGAGTATTTTGTATTACCAAACACTTTCTACCCCAACTTAACACCAGATGAGACAAACGATTCCATCAAAAACTGCAAAATGCTTACCCACTATTAGGCACTGATGTGGTATCATCGGGAACAGAGACACATAGGAAGCCCTTTTGCATAAGTCAAATGTTGACTCAAGGTTAGCTCAAACCTGCGATTGTGGCAACAGAACTCTGCCCAAAAAATAGTACAGAAAATGGACGGCATTAAAGTCATGCCAACAAAATTTTATCATTCAAATAGTCGGAATTTACAACAACAGTACGACATCCTCCTCATGTCATGCCATAAATATGCCGCCACCTAGTCAAGTTCTAAAGCATCTTCGAAGTTGACATGGTCAGTACTGTAGTTAAACCACCGATAGTTGCGCACAAAAAAGGGGACGAGGAGGACATTTTTGCCTTCACTCAGCGGATTACATACCGCAAAGAGGTCAGGAGAGAGGGATCATTCGTTGCAAGTCCACAGCATAAAAGTCATTAGCTCCGCATCAAATTGTGTACCCCTCATGTACGGAAGAAGAATCGAGTAGCAAAAAAAGGTGATGTGAGTTTAGAGGATTTTAGAGTGCGATACGAAAGCGCTACATTTTCTTCACATCACAAGATGTGGAGAGTAGAATGTCCCTCCGCCTCATCCTTCGGATCTGACTAATGTCTCAGTACTCGAGGAGAATAGCAGGAAAGATTACGCTTTAAATTGGATGGGCCGTGGGTTTACTATGCGTAGTTTGTACGTGCGCAAAAAATGACGAATTTGGTGATAAGTTGCTGTCATTGTTTTGCGGCAGGTAGGTAGACTGGCAAGCAGGCGGGTGGAAGGGCGAGAGGGCGCCAAAGCGGTCGGTCGGTGGGTCGGTGGGTCGGTCGGTCTGTCGGGCGAACTAGCAGTCCTGGTTGCTAGCATTCGCACGTATGCGCGCATGCATGCACATGTCTGCACATACACACACACACACAGACACACGCCAGACAGCACCCAACCCAACCCATGTGTGTATGTGTGTGTGTGCAAAAACATTAATCATGCCTTTCACCGTTAGCCAATGATCGATCGCTTCGTATGGTTGTCTTCCTGTGTGCCTGGGTTTCAGTCAAATTGAAAGTCATTTTGTGTCAAATAGTGCGTTCCCCTCACTTTTTCAGACATTTTGTACACTTAGCCCCTCATAATTCCTTCCATGATGCCTTTGATTGACACCTCCAAGTCGATTTGAGGAACCGGTAAGTGCACTCTAATGCAACAACACTTGCCAATCTCCTTGGAAGGTGCCGTTTCAGGATGGTAGTGTGAAACTTTATTGCTAAATCTTCTTTCAACACTTCTGTGATCCCTACAACAAAACCACCTTATTCAGGCTGAAAACACAAAAAAATAATAATAATAATAGCCAAGCCAGATTTCGATGCGTGTCTATCATTTCAAAGCAATAAAAATCACCAAGACTGAAAAAAAAAATGAACAAGCTTTGCTTCTACTCAACGTTGGGCGGTGAATTCCTTGTTAAAACTATCATCAACAGTAGCGTGGTTGAGTGAACCGATGCCAGCCTGTAGGCCTGACTTGGAAAAGGAGAAGTTGACCGTAAGTTGGACTTCGAGGTCTTCAAGATGTTGGAATGTGGGATTGCCAAGGTGTTGACTCTCCTCTAGTTTTGCGTAACGCATAGTTGATGCCTTTTTTCTTTTGCAATGCATTATTCGTGGAGGTGTTGTAGACCTCTCGAACATTGCAGTGGAGATTTCACTCATTCCAAGTCAACTCTTCCATCGACTTATCCAAGGTTGTACGCATTCAAGTGAGTCTTCAATGCGTTCCCACGACTTAACTGGTTTACATTATGGCACCACTTTAAAAAAAAAAAAAAGAACCACCACAAATAAATCCTTGTGAAGTCGTTACCCATCAGGAGGTGAACTGTTTTGACACCACCAACCATCGGATCCCATCATCAACAATGAAGTTGGCTCATGAACATTCCTTTGGATGAAGTATTAATGAAGATCTTTTTAGCTGCTCCTTGCAGCTGTCTGTGGATCCACCAACAAGTGATTGCTTGAGTAATGAAAACCGACAAGACTCTACTTGTAGTGTAGACGAGCCTCTTGACGGCCTTCAAAACTCCTGCAAAGTTGAGGTGGAGGTGGAGGCTGGAGGTTTCACTCCAGGTGATTCTGTAAGTCTTCACTTGAATTCCATTTTAGGCATCGAAAGCTTTTGCTTCTTCCTTGAGTGAAAGAAAATTTTGGTGTCACCCTCCAATTCCTCATTTCATCTGACTCAATAGAACTATCAGAGTTATGCGCCTTGAGGGCAGGGAGGAGGATTGACGCGGGGTCTTAAGGTGGCACCCTCTCAACAGTAAACGTTCGTGTTAAAACGTGTCGCCGCGAGTTTAGTGTTTGCATCCTTAGCACAACAACAGCCTGTCAATCACCGATCGTTAGTTCACTTGCTCGCTGCCTCATACACACACACAACAGCGGTGATGACAGTGACGGCAACAGCAATGAGATACCGGGCTTCAGAAAGGAGGGACAAGGGTCTGTCGACTTCACTCGGTGGGTCCCTCTGCAGTGTGTGTGTGTTGTGCAAGTGACGCATCTTTATGCACAAAACGGTGGTGTCAAAGGTGGTAGCAAGACGGTGAGAAAAATACAACACTTAAAAAAAGGAGGTTGAGCAGGCGGCGGCGGCGGAGGAGGAGGAGGAGGAGGGGGAGAGAAGTCTTCATTTCACTTCTACACGTACACATACTCAAACCTACCAGAAGAAGAGTCGATTGATGTGGTCATGAGTGGCAGATTAGAGATTTGCTTTTTATTTTTTGTTACCTTCTAGGAAACCTTCCAGAATAGCCGATCTAAATACCCCACGATGGATGTCATTGGAACTTTAAAGAGACCTTTCATGTAGTTAAATTAGGAGATCGTCATAGGGAAGAGAAAATCAGCCACAGTCATCACAACTTTTGGCCTGCAAAAGTGAGATCCAACTCAAAAGTCTTAGCAAAACCAACTGAGACTGCACTGTTAAACATTGCAGGTTTAAGTGAATGGATCGTTGAGTAGCCGCAAGTAAGGCAGTAGGTGGTTTGGCATTTAAAACTCCACGCCCTCCTCCTGCTTCGAACGTCCGACTTCCAGGTGGATACGCCCCACAATCTAAGTGCTACGACGAGGTGGCACTAAAACTGCTTCAGCTGCATTTTAGAGTGGAGGACTTTGAGGAGGCATGAAATGAGCATCAACTGAGTTACCGCAAAACAGTTGAGAGGGCAATTTGAGTGGATGAGGTGAGGTGGTGCCCCATTCGACACCTCGCAAAAGGGAAAAAAGTAGCCTCGAGGTGATTGGCTGATGAGGCTTTTATCATCAATTCAACTAACTTAAGCATTGCCGCATAAAATGTGTTCTCAAACCCCCTACAAAATGAATACTCTTTTATAGTTGCTTTTTTTTAAAAAAAATAAAAATCACTAAAGAGTAACTCAGCGTGTACAACAATTTTGATTTACTTTTGACAGACAACACTTGATCACGGCCTAGTGAATGAAAGTTGCACTGAAGAGGGAAGTGACAATGACATCCGAGACACTGGCAAATGGTGCCAAGAGTCGACACAATCTGCCACTTTGTAGGGGTGATTTGTGAGTCAAGTTATCAACTCGACTTCACTGTGTCTTGTCACATGTCAAGCAGCAAAAAATGGAGGCAGGAGGGTTTTCACGTAAAGTCAAAGCAATCTCCCCAAAAGAGTACACGATGAAAGTGTCTAAGGCGGGGGAGGCGACATCGCCTCACAACTACACTGTGGCGAGCATCAAAATGCAAACAATGAGTAGACAACTTGTAATTGTTTAAGTGAAGTGCTGCAAACATGATGAGATGAGGGAAAGAAACCTCTTCGTGAGGAGGTCTACAGACAAGACAAGGAGGCAAAAGGCTTAAGAGTCGACTCGATGAGAGCCCCGAAAGTAAAAGGAAAGAAAAGAGATACAGAGTTATAAGAACTTTTAAAAGCAGTTATTTTACCATGAGATTGTAATTAAGTTGTTGTGAGGTAACCACCCATAAGAAGGAAGAAAGGAGGAACGAAACAACTCCACACTGTACACGTCGGAGTGCACCAAATGAACAGGCAAGGTGACAACACGTGGAGCCAAGGCAACCAAATGGAGGAGCGATGAATGGCATGGGGATGAACAAGGGGAAAACTAAGTGTAGGACAGTGATTTTTGGATGAAGAACTGAAGAAATGCGAGTTCTTAAAATGGAAACACAACTGCAACCAGAAGAACGTGGCAATGAAGGTGTGGATGATCAGTTACGAGGTGATTGCCTAGAAAAAGATGCATCACAGATGTCCTGAAGACTGCCTTCTTGGGAGCAATAGTGATTCCCACAAGAGGTGGGAAAATAATGTTATCAAAGATTACAAGAATTCCTCTCTTCTCTCATTTTTTTGTACCACAAAGTCGGACGGTTATGCAGGAATTGCGACATCCACAATAGGTGTGGATTGATGTAACAAAAGTGGACTTAAATTGGTTTCATTGCTCTCAAAGAGCCCCGAGGAGACCCAGAACACCGATGTTTTCATTCTCCCCTTTCCTGTCCTCCCAATTGGGAGTTGTAGAAGACACTAAACAACAAGCGTAAAGAACACATCTGCATGACATTCTCTTCCCTACCCTTCCCTTTTGTCCGCTTACAAACCAGTGCACTTGTTCAAAAAGCCCGTGCGCGCATTCGCTTGCTCGCTCGGTCGTGTGTCCTGTCCATTCGTTTGTTAGTTTACTTGTTGCTTTGCTCCCTTCCTCTTCCCTGTCAGTTGTTTTTGTCGCGCGGCTATGTCTACTCTCCTATTAGCTCGCCTCCTAGTCCGAAATGCCTCACAAGCACCGCAAAACAAGTGGAAGGGAAAAGGGGACAAAAGTAGCGCATTGAAGTCATCAACTTTTGCTTAATTCCCTGTAGGTTTTACCGATTCAGGATGCGGAGGTGTGTGACCCCTCAAGTGGAGGTCAAAATCACCAATCGACCAATCACAAAGTTGATGACATGATGTCGAGTGTCTCTTTTTTTTTACGTATGAGTGAAAAAAGATGCGTCTAAAATCTGTTTATCGGAGTCGAAAACACAATTTTAATCCTCAAGAAACTTTTAAAATTGTAGAGAACGATTACAACTACCTGTTTTGGATTGGATGTTTAACCAAATTGTTGGTCAAATTGCTTATACTTAACGAATGTGTTAAAATATAGGCAATTTTAAGCAGCACCCAACTGACATTAGCGACTCTAGCACCCAAGATGATTAATGATGGCGTGAAACAGGGCATCCTCGACCACACTTTCGCCATATCCAGAGGATGGACCCCAGGTTTTCTCCACTCTCACAACCAATAGGAACTCAGTGTGCAAAGAAAGAAAATTTGCAAGCGCAGGATTCCCTTGACGCATGATTGGATGTCAGGAGGAGCGGAGGATTTGCAGGCCAAGTTGATGACTAAATGGATGTGCCGACGGCATGAGGGTGAGAGGTGGTATAACTTCATTTATGCACCCAATGTTTATTCAAAAAGATTGATAGTTGAGAGTTAAGTGCACAGTCGAATTGACAATCAGCTAGAATGGATGTATTGCATAGGACTCTGCATGCATTGATCCGATGACAAGTCAGTGACAAAGTGATGACACCAAGCAGGATAGTCGATTCCGTGTGGAGGAGTGTGGTAGTCAAAAGGTATGGAAATCCCTAGATTAGTGCGAATAGAAACGGGAGAAATGGACCTGAACTTGAACATGAACAAAGACAACTTTGAGGTGTATGGGTGATTGGTTTGGTGAGTTGACAGATCTGTCGAGGACATATGAGTAAAGGAGATGCTCAAAATTGTTTCGATGAGGCACGGTTTTAGTGAGAAGGGTTGAACATCTCCTATGACCATGACGCTGTCCACGCACAACTGTACACAGAAGTGCATCCATCTGGACATCCATTCAAGGCCATAGCATATGGAGAGGGGGTAAACGCCAACAACAAAGACACCACCTTCGTCATTTCCGCTACCATCAATAACACCAGTCCAGTTCAACTCCGTCAGTCAAATGAACAAGCCATCGCATGCATGTACGTCCAGCTGACTCACAAAGACATCCACCTCTCTTGACTTCACCCTCCAACACAGACACATCAATACGCAGTATGGCAGAAAGTATGCTGAGTTGATCCTGGACAGGTTACATGGAGATGCAACTCAAGCTACGAAGCTCCGCAACTAAACGAGACTGGAAAACATTAACTCGCTTTGAGCTGTCAATGCACCCTGGGGACGCATCAGGCCTCCACGCTGATACCACTGCCCAAGCCAAACGCCTTCTTGGTCTTCTGTAAAACGATGGTAATCGCCAACCTAGACACATATGGAGCAATAATTCAAGTGGAATCAACTATGACGCTGCACTTTATGAATTATAGCAACTTGAAGTCGCAGCAGTGAGGGGAAGGAAGACCTAAAGGATCATATCCACACGCACGAGCAAAACTGCTGATGGGTATCAGTGAGATACGAGTCTTTTTCAACTTTGCGTGCGTGCATGCCAGCCCGTTTTCGTTTTTTTTCCTTACGCCCCTCGGCTTTGAGTAATACCGCGCACATACACGCACGCACGCACGCACGCACGCATACACGCACGCACGCACGCATGCAAAGTCACCGACCAACCTACCGACAGAGAGTGGAGCGAGAGAAAGGCAGACAGACGAGAGGAGAGCGCAACGAGAGAGGAAAGGGCAGTGAGACAGACAGGCGAGGACGCGTGCGCAAGCATTCACTAATTGAGCAGGGTGGAACGGACGGACTGTCGGTCGGACGAACGATACGCATGCACACGTGCATACCCACCCACGCACGCCCATAATCAATGCACGCGCGCATACACGCTTCTGAAGGTCTCCATCCCTTCAATGATTTGCATCATCATTCTCATCACAGTTGTGGCCACAAGGACTGGGTTCCTTTGACCATGCTTCAACGGTAAACAGCTAGTCACCTCTAGACCGGTCAAAACTTCAGTGAAATTTGGATGCCAGCGTCTTCCCTACAGACTTATTTAGACCTCCTAACCACTGGACCTTGTTCATGGTACTTAAAACTCTTCCGTAAGATCGCAACATGACGTGCTATAAGACAGGGCCTTCAGACGTGCCTTGAAGCTTGGAAAGGCTAGGACAACTTTAAAGGTGGTCGGTTGTCTTGTTAGTGATACAAACCGAATTCTTTTCCCCGGTTTTGCTTCTATGGCATTGCCATGACGTTCCATTTATGGAGTAGGTAAAGCCCTACATTGGAGAGGTGGAGAGTGAACGTGACTGATGATATTTATAGAACTTGACTTCCGCTTTTAAGGCGATAGGCAAAGTTGAGTGGAATCAATCAGGTGTAGTACAGAAATCAACAGCAAAAGGAAGCTGAAAGACGGTTAGAAGATAACCCAAAGAGACTGGACTACATCGAAGTAAGTGAATTTGATACAGGAGATCCGGTTTTCCCATTCATATTATGACGCATCAAGAACCACCTCATGTTGCAGATCATTAGGGTGAAGAAAGCTACTCAGCGATCATGGCAATGTTTTACGAAATGAATAAATTCTAACAGTAAAAATGCAATCATTTGAAATGGTAAAGGTTTCAAAGTGCATTTAAAGTTGAACATAAAAGGGACGTTGAGTTTACTGATTGTACGCTCGAACCTAAACAAACCACTCACCTGATCCGCTGCAGTCGCCTGTCGATAGACCGCCGAGAGGTCTGCCAGCTGGCCTAGTCCGATAGCCGCCGCCGCGGCTGCCTGCAATCCTGCAGCGTAAGCATTGGAAGCGGAGGCGGCGGCGGCTGCGGCGGCTGTAGCTGCGGCCGAATTATTGATTATTCCGTCCACCGATAGTGCGGAACGTTTGGTGTGTGGTGAACCCGCTGGAGCTCCATGCGGCACTTTGAATACTGGAAGGTGATGAGATGAAGAGAGTTGAGGATGCAGTTGGACTAGTGAATGCTTTACCGATTCGCCTGTTAGGTGACTGGCAATCCGATTTGGCCCAGCACTACGTACACACATGCACGCTCAACAACATTCAGAAAGACAGGAGGGTAGAGGTAGGCGCGGGGTTAGTCCCCGAACCAGGCAATTAAGCGATCCAGTTGCGGGATAAACAAGACGGATTGGTGGTGCTGGTGGTGGTAGCGGCGATGGATGGAAACGAAGGTATAAACACAGGTACGCGCACACTCGCACGCAGAGAGATCTGGTGTGTTTGTGTGTATGCTTTCTGGGTAGTGTAGATGGAGAGACATCTCACTTCCCTCCTAACCTACCCCTTTTCCTTCCCCTCCTCTTCCCGACTCCCCTCTACCTTCTTAAACACGTCTGGGTCAGGCATTTATCGACGACCGAAACTACGAACGGACGCTCGCTTATTATATCAAAAATACAACGAATTAGATGTCCTCAGAACGCCAGCATAAATGGGTTTGAATGTAAAAAGGGGTGCATCTAATAAACACAAATACAATCGTTGTTTGGAAAACAAAAATGTTGAGATCTTTAAAAGCGTTTTTCCTTTTACAGGGCGTGAACTCTCATTTGCCATTCAGGCATTCCATGTGAGTGGACAGAACTTTGATCCCTTGAAATCTACTTTTAGAGTCAGGATGTTCTTTGACGACAAATTGGTCCCACTTTCTTAATAATGTCGGAATTCTAGACCTTGATTGCGTTGTGGTTTATTAGAGGTGCACAGAAGTTTGGCCCTCGTCAGCAAAACTGAAGCCTCCATACCGAACGATCCCGTAAGCAAGTCTATAGAGTTACGTGTTTGTGAAGGCTTTATAGCATCAGAGAGGAGGCTCTCACCCTCAAGCACTAACTTCAAATATCATTTTATCGTCACAGTAGGGGAATGACTCCAAACCACAACCATTTGGTCATCCTACTCGTGATCACAAGCCTTCACCGTCTTTAGAATGGGAAGAAAACAGTTGCAGAAAGCAGAGAAACGCGGCGTACGTTTCAATGGTCGGTGAATTTGCGGCAGCTTCAAAATGCCCATTGTGAAGATGAAAGATCAGTTAAAGGGGAGGAAGGACAAAGGACATCGTCATAGCTACCACTTGCGAACAACCGTTATTATAAGGTCATGCCCAACATTTCAAAATTGTCCGATCGACCACAACGAAATTTGGCCTCAAATCGCTCTTTCTTGGCGGCGGACCGATTTTGGCAAGCTTAGTAAGAGGACGGCTTTTGAAGGAGATAAACCGGTCCTCTCTCCCGCCTAGAAGGTCTAAGATCTTGCTTTGATGTGCATGTTCCGGCTGAGATGAAATGCAAATTCTAAAGACACCACTGAAATGAATCCCTAAATCCTTCACTTCTCAATGGGCAACTCATTTCAAGCCAAAAATTCATTCTAAAGTGAATATTAGTTTTTTTTTTAACAATCTGCTCCAAAAGCAGGTTGTCTGGACACGTTTTAAGCGATATCGCTTTTGAAAAATCTGAAAAACTCAACATCATTTTAACCAAGACTGATAAAGTGTTTGACATCAATGCCCTGGATCCTTTTAACTCCAGACCCTGTCCTCTAGGCACCAATTTCTTCAACTTTCATGACTCATGCTTGGTTAAAGAGGAACGGAAACGTGTATGACCAAATTGTACAAACTCAGAAATTTCAGCAAACAATCTTGGGCATTTGTGATTCCCGAAGTAGGGCGAGGGAGGAAACTTTGGTTGCAGTAGCGACTTCACTAAGTCCGACAAATTTTGCTTTTGGCCTTTACTCTCGGCGATTTGTAGGTGAGTTTATGAAAACATCTCCAAGCGAAAAGAAAAAATGGATTCCTTTCCAATCCCCGCCTCTTGGGTCGAGCTTCCAATATGTTTAAGTTAAACAACAATGAAATAGCATAGCGGATGGCTTCTACCAATGCATGTTACCGACTTAAAAGGTCCTCCCTCTTAATAACCTTCAATTTTCGTGATTGGCCCCGGGGTTGAATGAATCAGGAGTTGAGGTGGGGCTTGGCGATATGCAAAAGTTCGGACTGATCTGATCGTTTCTGATGCACAAGCACCTCCTTTAGTCCCCCACCCCCATCTATCTCCCCCATCGTCTACCCGCCCGCCTATATCTGCTGAGTCAAAGTTGACAGGCAGGGCCAGTACTGAAATTTCGACAGGGCCACTCTCTAAGGGAGGGAGGGTAGGAGGGCGGCAGGCGAACGAGAGAGTAAATACCATCACGTCTCGAGAACCAGCTGTCATACACTTTTGAGAGCCGAAAAATCGCCTCCTATTTCGCCTTCCTCTACTACGCACGCACGCCGCACCCACGCGTCCACTAGCTGGCTCGTCTGATGCCCGCGCACAAACGCACGCAAGCACCGACGCAAGTAGGCAAGCAAGGAACGTCAATAGAGGAACGAGAACCATGCGCAGGGCGGGATGGCGGGTTTCGGGGGTTGGAGTGGGGGGGAGAAAAGGAGGGAGGTAGGGGGGGACAAGGGGAGGAAAACGAGCGAGCCGCTAGAGAGAGCGCGGGCTTATGCACGCTGCAGTTGATGCAAACAGAAAATTGCCTACTTGCCTGCCTGCCTAACTAGCTATTTTGCCTGCTTGCCCAACTAGCTAGATAGTTTACTCCTTGGCTTGCTAGTTGACCAAGCTCACATACATAAAGGCACAGAAAGAGAAGATCGGAAATAATTAATGTGCGTGCGTACGGCCAAGTCCCCACACCAAGTGATTGCGGCTGTGTCATAAATTATGGAGCCATCTACCTTCCCTCCCTTGTCTCTTTCCCCTTGGGGTAAACAGTACCGATCATTCCAACCAGTGCCTGATCAGTCCAGCTCACGATGTGTACACGATGCAAATTGACCATGATCCAGAAGCGGTGAAGGAAAATGCAGAGCTAACAAGACTGATTGGCTGAACGCTTGACATATTGAGGATTTGAGAAGTATTTGTGCCGCTGTTGGGGGAATGCAAAGGATCTAAATCGGTGAAAGTTGGTCTGTTGCATCCCGTCAGGTAACTATGGGAGAAACTCAGTGAGGGCGGGCATTTATTAATTGAAACCAAAGTTAATTATTTAGTCAACAGGTATTTAACCACCAACACTATCCAGTACTTGTTTTGGAACGAACAAAATATAGTAAAATTGCCAATAGTCTCCCTCCCCTCCTTCAAAAATGGAGGCTTGATTGACTTCACACATACACGCAACACACCACACCAAACGTTTCTGTAGGCAGGGAGGGGGAGAAGAGAAACAACAGGGGAAGAAGGAGTGGATAAGCTTCGCTGTCGGTTGGACATGAATGTGTGCTGCTGCTGTTTCTGTCGGGAGCGTTATCCGCAGTAGCAGCAGCAACAGTGAGATGGGAAAACACATACACAGCCAATCTGACACGGCACCACAGCTGCTGTTGCTGTTACCCCCGCTATTACTACAACCACCGCTGTCGCTAAATACATGACAGAAAGAAACGACCACAAGAAATATGGGTCGAAAGAGGACGAGAGAAGGGGGCGAAAGGGAGCGCCGACTCCCCTCTTCTCTCCGCCCAATCGAAGATCGGCAACAGGTGCGTACGCGCTCTGTCACGCGCGCGTGACTCATTGATTGGACAATACAACCGTACATACGCATGCATGTTTTAAATACCCCATTGAGTCATAGAGAAGCGGGTTCACCCATGCACACTGGCGCACTCACTTTCACGCACAGTGAATTCCTGTTACAACCAGTTCTAACCTTTTCCACTGTCGTTCACTTAAATACCCGTTGTTGTCATGATGTGATATGATGTTATATGATTTGGCAAATTCTGCTTCAAATTGGTTAGAAGATGGACGATGCATGAGAGAGTCGATGTCAGGTGGGAAACAAAAGTGGGAGTTGAATAGACTACACTTAAATGGCATCGTTACGATGATATAGCACCAGCATCAACAACAAAACAGTGACTCACACGTGCGTACACATACACAAACGTACAGACGAGGGGTGACTAACTAACTGACTGGTTGGCTGGATGGGGTGACTCCAACGACGACTTAATTTAGGACCAGTACGCACGGTGTACGCCTGAGTCAGCTGACTCGGTGGCTGATTTGCTACTAGTAGCTTAGGTATCAATGTGTATGTCGATCCCTCCTCATCCCCCTTGTGGGAGGGGGCGGCTACGCTTAGTCTACTGCAAGCTGCAGGAATGCAATGTTTGCGAGTCCCAAATGTGACGAGTGTGAACCACCCATAATAAGGGAGTTAAACCCTCATTTTTATCCTTTTATTTATCAATGGATTACGAACTCGCTTTAAGAACTGTCAAGTTATTTGCACACAGTTTGTCGCACATCAACTTTATGCGAAAGTCAACAGTTGATCAGCTGCGATATGACCTTGAGACAATTGAGATGACACTGATCGATTGGTCAGGTGCCTAAGAAGTGAATTTGAACAGCTGTGAGGGGTCACGAAATTGAAGCTCAAATCAATTAGCTCCAGTCGACCTTGATAGCACTATTTGGACTCCTTCCCTTTTTCCCGCTCCCAATTATACAAAGCGTCAAGATGCAACTAAAAGGGAAACATAGGGTGCTTTGGGACGCCTCTTAAGGTCGTTGCCGCCACCTGTGTTAGTGCAAAAGCAGAAGTAGTAGTACAAACACAAATAACGGTCGTCATGGTATTCCCATAGCCAATGAAAAGTGCGCATTTGTCAAATGGGAAACTTTGGTGTGTGTGTGTGTGTGTGCGGTAGATAGCAAGCATACAGGAGAATAGTTGCCTACCTCTCGGCCACGAATGGGGAGAATATGGATGCAATTAATCATTACTAAAACGATCCCCACTAATACCACTACCACTAACGATGATCGGGATGGAATATTGCAGCTGCGAGTGTGCACACAGGTGCAAGGAGGTGAGGAGATTGATAACCTTTATTGAATCAAGAAGGAAGAGGGGCGGAGGGTCTGGGTGGATGCCAAAAAGAAACTCGGCATTACTGCAGTCACTTTAGATCGTGAACTGCTCACTGAGTAGAGGCATCTCACAAAATGACAAGCTTCATGCACCCAATTTTGACGAATTAAAAACAAATGTAGCCGTGGCAGTATGCTTTGAAGTTGGGTTACGTAATTAGCAACAAGACTTGCACACAAATTAAAGCCATCAACAGAGGTGAGAATTATCTCATCTTAGAGGTGCACTAACGCACACACATTTGTCAAATCTGAGTGCATGCTAATTTACACCTGTCACGACTAGGCAATTGAGGCACGAATACAAGAAGGTAGCTACTACGGTGGAGAGGGGGAGGGAAGGAGGGAAGTTTCCCAAACGAAAAGGATGCACTACTATCGGCAAAT